GTCTGTGTGTGAGAGGAGCCAGGAAGAGGGAGGCGGGGGTGAAGGTCGCAGTGGAAAAGCTCGTCAACTGCTCGGCGACGAGCACCGCTTTCACTGCGCCGATCAGAGCCCATGCAAACCCAGCCGGGCGTCACGACCCGAGCCGACTCCGCCGGGGAACAGAACGAGCGCGCCCGAAGCGCCCCGCTCCCGGCAGGAGTGAAAACTTCCAACATATCGAGCTCTGCGGGTGATTTATATACATATATTTACGGAAAAGACACGTGCATGCCTTACTCCGCAGAATCCGTCCGCGTCTGCGGCTTAATGTGATGACGCGCACGTATCAGCATCTAGCGCACACCGCCTCTGAGAGACACTCGGAGCGCGGATGGGCGCCTTGTGAATGTACCGCCGCCTCCACTGGTGCCCGCAAGCACCTCACCCGGCTGAATGAAGCTGACCTGGACGTGCTCCGGTGAAAGGTGACACGGGGACGCTCTTCCCGGTCAAGTCATGACCTGATCAAGAAAACACACCGGAGGGGAAAAAAAAAGCCTCCTCTTTCGATGATTCTTACTTTGTCCTTTGAATTGTGAATATTGCTATTAATCCACTCCCTTATCCCCTTTATAATGTCAGTCCCCTATATGATCGGCATTAATGGTTTTGCTTTACACACAGCCAGTACAGGGAGGTCTTAATGCAAACAAGGTGTATTTAATGAGGACGTAAATCATTTGTCACTCACAGAGAGACATCACCTGTAACAGGTACGACTGTCACACACACATTGCTGGCACACCTGTGGAAATGAATCTCAGTGGGCACAGTTTGATTTACATGGTATTGTCAACAGCTCTGTCACCCTGCAGCTCCCAGCTGGCTGCCCACTGGAGCTCAGTAGGTGTGAGCCTGGCCAGTACCTGGAGGGGAGACTCCTGGGAAAGCTAAGGCTGCTGGTGGAAGAGGTGTTAGTGGGACCAACAGGGGGCGCTCACCCTGAGGTCTGTGTGGGTCCTAATGTCCCAGTATAGTGGATGCTGGTGGATCCAGGTGGATGCTGCACATTGGTGGTGGTGGAGGGGAGTCCCCATTACCTGTAAAGCGCTTTGAGTGGAGTGTCCAGAAAAGCGCTATATAAGTATAAGCAATTATGATTATGATTAGTATTATGATTATGATTATGTATCTCCCTTGTTGGTTGGGAGACAGCAGCCAGTGTAGCCTTGTGCCCCCAGGATCATAAAAATAGAGGAGAAGTTGGAAGATGAGAGGAACTTCGGCCCACGGAGCACACATGGGAGTAAGGAGCTGTGTGAGTCCAGTATCTCATCCAGCTGTTTCCTGAAAGAAACCAGGGTATCGGCTTCAGCATCCTGGCCGGGGAGCTTGCTCCACCCACCCACAACACTCTGTGTAGAGAAGTTCCCCCCTGCTGCCAGATGAATGATCATCGTGGTCGTCGGCCATGGCCTCTTTGGTGATGGCGCAGTTGTATGGAGCAGGCCCCACCCGTGTGTGAGAGAGAGCTGGGTGCTTACCTTCACTGAGGCGTCAGCGGCCAGTTTCCTTAGTCTTGCGTGTGTCGGGAGAAAATACCACTGTGCCCACACACACACACCTGACACGTCGCCTGAAAACACAGTTTGTTTGCTTGCTTATTCTTCATCCTTTTCGAAGACAAACACCCCTGAGTCACCCGTGCGACACACAGGGTCCTGGACACACGTCGATATCGCCGAAGGAAATCACAGACGAAAAGTACATCTTCTTTTAGACGATGTCCTTGAGTACCACAGCCACACCGGTATTATATGTGTATAGAAGTGTTTAGTTCGCATAAAAAGAGAAAATTGTCATGTTGTCATTCTTTTATTTGTATGAGAGAGAGGTTAAAGAGAAAAAAGTTTTGGTTTACCAAAGTTTCGGGGGGTACGAGGGGGGTACGAGGGGGGTACGAGCTGCCTGCCTGCCTGCCTGTCCTTCTGTGAAGATCAGTCGTGTCTCTCGGTCTGGTGGGCCGCTCCTCGGGGGCTCTGAAGAGCACACGGGGCTCGCGGAGGAGATCTTGCAGTCCAGCTGTGCCGCTTTGTTTTCTGAGGCGAGGACGTACCCCTGGGGTTCCCGGGGTTCCCTGCGCGGCGACGCCCTCTGGATGAGCGACTCCAGTCCCCCCCCCCCCCGACAAAAGCAGTGTTGCTCTGAGCTGTCCATTAAAACCAATGGCAGTTAAGAGTCCCGGCAATGCTACCGGCCTCTGCGCAGGGCCGACCTGCCGGCCAGGGGCAGTCGGAGTGTCCTGTGAGCACAGGGTTTAGGACAGATTCTCGGAGGCCAGTTTCAGTGTTTTACTGAAGGCACCCTGGTGTGTTAGTGCTGTCCGAGCTGTGCTGGCGGTGGTCACTTCGGGTTTTGTCTTCCACAAAAGCCCGTGGGTCTCTACTCGACCTAGTTATGCGTCATGAGGCCCCTGGTCTGCTCTGCTCCCAGCCTGTTACTGCTACGAGCCTCACAAGGAGGAAGCGCTTCGAAAAGGATGCTGATGAGACCTGGAACAGGGACGAACAAACACATCCTGCCCTTCCCACCTGTTTTGGGGGCCAGTAGTTGTGATCCGAGGAGCGCATCCAGCAGTTTCCTGAAACAAACCAGGGAGTCGACTCCCGGTAGTTTTCAGCGACCTGATTCGAGTGATCCGAATCTTCAGGGGCTCTGACGGAGCCGCCCCAACGGGCCGGGTCAGAACCTACACACGGAGAGACAGCGCTGGAGAGGGGCTTTGAAAACGTCCTCACACAAAGGGTTGTGGGAGCCTGGAACAAGTTACCCAGCCATGTGGTTGAAGGGGGTTGAGACCTCTGGATCATTAGCTGCTAAATACCCAAAGGGTTGGCTGGTTGTAGCCCTCTCTTTGGACAACTT